GCCTGAACTCATCTACTCTCACCTACTGCTCCAGCAAACCCTTTCTGTTTCAGTTAGCCATAAATTGTGGGGGCTTATAATCAATGACTTTAACTCATATATGAACACTTTCTGTTGAATGTTTAGGCTGTCCCTAATTCTTTTCTGTAGTAAACAACTGAAATAAATACCCTTACATATGCCTTTTGGTTATTTATAATTTCTAAAATTCAAGGTTGGTTGCATTTTACATTGTAAGTGATTCTGTTGTTATTATCTTTGTGACTAGGTTTATTTCCTCTATAGTGAATATTTTTTTTTTTTTTTTTGGTTTTTCAAGACAGCGTTTCTCTGTATTGTCTTGGAAGCTGTCCTGGAACTCTCTTTGTAGACCAGGCTGGCCTCAAACTCACAGAGATCCACCTGCCTCTGCCTCCCGAGTGCTGGGATTAAAGGCGTGCACCACCAATGCCCGGCTTATAGTGAATATTTTTCTAAAAGCAGATTTCCAGGTCAAATTATTTAATACTTATTTAACTTACTACTTCTTGCTCCAAATACACAGGCACAGACATACACACACAGACACCACACACACACAGATACACACTTAGATACACACAGACACAGACACAGACACACACACACACAGACACACACTCACACCCTGAAAAGAGTTACTCTGAAATGCCCCAAGCATTATTTTTCAGAGTGTCTAAGTAGGGAAAGGAGAGGATGGACTTGAAGCCTGATGTCCTAATACATCAAGTGTCACAAGTGGAGAACAGGAAAAGACTATTGGGCCGTTTTCAGAACTGATGGTTCAATCACAGTTACAGGTTACACCCAAAAGAGTACCGAGAACGGCGAATGTGAGCAAGTGTGCTGCACACACTTAAAATCTGGTGCCTAAGAGGCAAAGGGAGGAGGATGGTGAGTATGAGGTCAGACTGACTCGCTACATAGCAAAATGTACAAGAAACAAAATAATGGGGTATCTAAAAATAGTCTCTCTGAGTCCAGGAATAAAGTGTCACACAGATGAGGTGTCAGAGGACACAATGTGTCCAGACTCACAGGACACTACACATATATAACTTTGGCTTTCTAAATGTTCTGACCAATAGAAAAGGCTCACTGCGGACAGTCATTAGTTCCTCAATGGAAATCCTGCAAACTCCTAGAGCCACAGTTCTGCCTAAACCTAAAAGTGTTGCCACACCTTAAAATGCATGGCTTTCCCCTCTTTGGACAGTGGCACAGCTGCCCATGTTGCAAGCTGCAAGTACTTACCTCCAGAGTCACGGCTCGCAGGAGCTCTGGCTTGGAATTGCACAGGGCTCCCACAAGCACCCCTCCAGCACTGAAAGCGCTCAGCGTGGTTAGGCTCGGCTGGGAGAAGCCTTGGCTATGAAGCGTCTTAATGCAAGCCTCTAAGTCAGCAAGGCCATTGAGTTTTTTAGTTAGGCGGCCATCAGCATGCCACTGGAGGCCCAACTCGCCACCACCCCTGTAGTGGAAGAAAATAAACACGATACAGTAGAGGTCAGTAAAATATCACAGGTGCGTTTGAGGCACTGGAGCTCAGAAGTGCTGTTGTGCTTTTAAAGGCTGGGAGAAAACAGCAAGAAGGAATATGCAACGGAGACTGTCTGGCCTGCCGAGCCTAAACCAATGCTGTGTAGTCCATCAGGAGACAAATCAAAAAGCTGGCAACCGTCAAGAGAATCAAAACTGATTCAACAACTATGTTTGCGCCACTGACTACTTACTATGGACTGGCTGAGGGCAGACCTTAAAAATAAACACACACACAGAATTGCCTGTGAAGAAGCTCATAGTGGCCTGAAAGCAAACAGCGGTCACCAGGCTCGATGGCTGCTGTAACGCGAGTGTTTAAGCTGTACCTAGCAGAGAAAGGCGGTTAGGGTGCACGAGTCAGGAGCACACAGCATGGGAAATGACACTGAGCTGAGTTGTGATGGAAGTGTGTTTCTGGAAGGGTAAGGAATGGGATAATACAGTACCTGCGAGGACACGAGGGCTAGAGCCTGTCACCCGAAGGCATGTGACCAGTGGATACCCTACAGAGAGAAGCTGGATTGTGAGAATTTTACCTAGAAATCTGGACTTTGTTCTGGAGACAGGGAGGTTGGAGAAGATTTTAAGAAGAAATAGAGTGATAATGCTGTTCTGGAATTAGATGACAAGAAAGTGCAGCTTAAAGAGGCTCTGTGAGGAAACCCTCCAACAGCTGCATGGACACACACACATCTGAATCACAGTACTTGAAGGGTCATGAGTTTGCGCTACAAAGATAGACCCTGCATCAAAAACTCCAAAGAAAGAAACCTGAACTTAGGAGACTATGTGGAAATAATAATGTAGTGATCCAGTACAAACACTGTCCTATCTGCTCAAAGGTCCTAAAAACTATTCTTTTGTTCTTTGGACTACGATAATCTGCTATCTGAATCAAGATCTACCAGGCGTAGGGATACATAAACCCAAAATCCACATGAGGAAGTGAGCTTTTGTCCCTTAACATATTGGTTTTTGTTCTGTTTTCTGATAGGGTCTCACTATACAGCCTTCAACAGAGGTCTGCCTCTGTCTGCAGCCTGAGTGCTGGGATTAAAGGCATGCGGTACCACGCCCGGTCCCCTAACATTGTTATTGTAGTTGTCATCACAATGTTCTGGCAGTCATCTGCCAGGAGAAATGAGCTGACTCACCTAACATGGCAATATGCTAAGATCCATCCATCATCCACCAAGACTCGCCTCTCAGGCCGGAAATTCATTTTCAAATCCATCCCGTAAGCTCCGTACACATGCACCAAGAGGGGCTTCTTCTGCAAGTCCTCAGAATCGGTTTTGTGAAAAATTGTCATTGGCACTAATTTTCCATCCTGGAAATGAAGAGTCATTTGCATGTAAGGAAACATCTTGGCTGTTTGTTTCTCTGCAGTGCTTGCTTGGGACCAGGGCAACTGCAAGACAAAGGCTCTACCATGGAGCCAGCGCCCCATGCAAGGGGTTTTCAAGCGGCCTAACCCAGTTTAAAGCGTCATGAGGCGCACTCCCAGTTACGTGACTCTCAGAAATGGACATCAGCTTTGCGAGCTTATGACATCTGTGCACAGAGCTCTGGATTTCAGTGACCCTCTGGTCTATGATTAGCCAGAAAAGAGCAATAGGGCTGGCTTGAACACTGGCGCAGTTTCTCACTGCAGGGTGATTTCGAAAAGCACTCATCATTGCCCGCTGTTAATTTAGTTCTTCCAGGTCAAGCCAAAATGGAAATGTTAGTATAACATACTCTCTGTGCCTAAGGCTAGATAGTGACAATTCTTATCTTTGAATATTTACAGATCTGCTACTAAAAAAGTCCTACTGGCTTCATTTCTTGACCTTGGAAACTGTCAAAATGCTCAGCGGTAGTACATGAACTCTCCTCACTCACACCATACCAATGGCTATGTGCATTCTTCAAAGGCCTTTATAACTATTATTCTGACTAAAATGATTTACTGTATACGCATGGGTGTTTTTTCTGCATGTGTGCTTTTGTCACATGTGTGCAGTGCCCACGGAGACTGGCATAAGGTTCATATTCCCTGGGTCTGGAGTCACGGGTGACTGTGAGCCAACATGTGGGTTAGGAAGAGGAGATGGGTTTTCTAGCTGACACGAACCCTGTCTTTTCTAACTTGTTATGGTCACGGGGTTTTACCACAGCACTGCACACCCTAACTAAGACAGATGCGCTACTTGAAACCTCACTTCCTCAGAGAGGACCGCTTGGAGCTCACCAGACTAGGTAAGCTCCCTTACCGAGTTTCAAGTATTCAATAAGCTTTCCGTTGTAGCTGTGAATGTGTTTGTCAGTAGCCATTTCTCCAGCCTCTGGCATCATCCCTGCTACAGTGAAACCTCATGATGGCGAGGACTGTATTAGTCTAGTCTGTTCTAATTAGCTGCTTACCATACTCTCCAAGTTATTACCATCGCTGTATACCAACTTTGACTATTTACTCTTTTTGCTAATAAGGGATTTTCAAATAATAGTGATGATATAGCTCTGATGCTAAGGCCCTCTGGCACACTACACTTGCAGTATCTGGGAGCTGAAGGCAGGGATTACAACACCTACCTTGCTTTTGGCTTCTATGCGTAAAACACGACTAGTTTTTGTAATCGGATCTTCATGTCCAGTTTCCTCAAACAGTTTGCCTTCTGCAAATTTATATGTGTAATATTTTGGAGGTCTTATGGGAGAGCAAAGCTGAAAGGGGCAGTTCTTTGGGTCAGAATTTGTATCCATTATGAATCCACAGGCCCAGGGAGGGAGCTGAAGAACAAAAAATATTTTCACTAATTACTACTAAAGTTTCTGAGTCTGCTCCAAACAACATAACATAGATATATACTTTCTGTTATTACACAATACATCATTTAAGAAATCTGTGACAAAACAGATTTCAAGTAAACGAATAAAACATTATATAAATTACCAATAAAGAAAAAAATATAGGAAAAGGGTTTATCATGATTCTGGATTTAAATGAAATTGCTTTTATTTGGGGACACAAGCTTGGGTGATAAAATAACCAAATGACTGAGAATAAGAGCAAATGAAATAGTGATCCTATGCCAGCAATAGCCCTCCAGTCCCACTCTTGCAGAACACGAGCCCCTCGAGTGAATGTTTTGAATGCTTTTCCCACCAGCCCTTCTCCTGCTGCCTGGACAGCCAGAGATGAGAGTTATTATCCCAGGCTACCAACAGGCTTGAATGCATTTACAATTTGTTTCTAACTTTAGCTTTGAGGCTAACCATTGTGAAGAACAAAACCTTTCCAGGCACAATGACTCAGAGCCATTATGTCAAGATTCTTAACTTTAAGAAAAACGGGAAGAAATCAAAATTTATTCTCTTAGAGCAGCAGGGTCCGGCGTCAAGCCTTCCACTAACCTCCCACTTACACCTTTTAAACAAGACTGGTAAGCAGGCTGACAGAGTGCTCCAGAGCTACTGAGAGTAAGAGTGTGGAAAGAAAAGTGCCTTTCTTTTTCTGAGTAATTGCAGAAAGAGCAAATTCCTTAGAAAATCAGAGGTCTTGGGAAGCAACATCACTGGCGGGCACGACTGAACAGGGAGGAAGGGCCGTGAGCGTCGAGAGGACAGACTTTCACCCACAGAAACCACAGCCAGGGAGCACAGGGGTCAGGCACAGTTATCCAGTGAACCCAGTGTCTGTTTCCCCGGAAAACAGACAAGGACACGCATTTGCAGCAGATCTCTACTTGAAAGAGAGAAACCTAACTGTGAAGGTACAAGATGCCTTAGCCATCAGGGGTGCAAGGTTTTTCCCACCTTTCAGTAAGGTAAGTAAACTTAACTATGACCATGGAATACATAGTTTTAGCTTTAGGATGACTGGTACCAATAAGTCAAAGTCTGGGTTTTTTCCAAAACCAAGGGACCAGGGTTTAAGTTTTAATCATACAAAGAACTGTTCTAAGGCTATGGACTCAGACACATTTGTTCAGCTGATGCAGAAATATTAACTGTCTCAAGGGCATCTTAAACCATGTTTCCTACTGATTTGTAATGTACTGAAAGAAATTTGTTCTGGAAATAGACTCTTCTGCAAATAAAGCTGATGACAGCATACAGCAAAACATTTCTTGGACTTGGGAGTGATGTAAGGCTTAGTGGCTGAGTTTGTCCAGTATGTTCAAGGCTTTGCCCCCTAGTATTTCAATAACATCTTCAATTTACTTTCCATGTGTTACAATAAAATAGTTTTTGTTTTTGAAAAAAATCAGAAAATATTGATGACACAATGACCAATGATATGAAATAAATACATGAAAAGTTTAACATTCCTATCTCTGGAGATTGTGTTTAGAAAGATCTTTTGGTCAAATGTCCACTAGCCATAGCTGTTACACATGGAAATATGTTATTAACTACTCACACTGGGGCTAAAGATTTTGCCCGTTATGTAAAGCTTGATCTATGGGTATTTATCAGTGTTATCTAGCGTCACGCAAACAATTATGAAATTGCTTTTAAGTAGCACATGGTATGTGCTGAAGCATTTGATTCTCTACAATGAGGACCTAGAACAACACTCAGGGTGTAACAGGTACCTGCAGGTTGGAATGTGCCAGAGAGAGACACAATGAATGATGCAGCAGAGAGTAAAGACAGGGTTTGTTGTGAAACAGCAAGCGTGTGTGTGTGTGTGTGTGTGTGTGTGTGTGTGTGTGTGTGTGTGTAATACCTTTAAATAAGAATACTTACTAAAAATAAGAAAGGGTCATATTTACTTAGAAGTTTAGTCTTAGGGGCCGGGATATTGCTCAGCAGCACAAAGCCTTGGGTTCAAACCCAGGCAGCACATAAAATCACTAGTGTGGTGATACACGCCTGTAATCCCAGCACATGAGAGGTGGAGGCAGGAGGATCAGAAGTCCAAGGCCAGCCTGGGCCATATTAGCCCCACAAGTCTAATTTAGAGCAGAAAATCTCTACATGGCATTCCCAGTTTTCCTGGTATACATATTTGTAATAAACACATTACTAGAAACCACGTATTTCCCCCATCCCTACTTATATAGGCAGCAATGAATGAGGACACATTGGCAACAAGGGAAGTCCTGAAGGGATGGTCAGTTTTATTTCAGGACACCTACACAGATACCTAAGAGACTCAGTGGTAAAGTTAGCACTTTGATTTTTAGGGAGCCACTCAGAGATTCTGTTGTTACAGGCTCCCATTATTTATTTGTATCTGTAAACAATCTTGAAATTCATCTCCCTGGTTCCTATCTGTTTGCTCCGGCCTCTACTGATATGGTTGCCTAATAACCTCATGCAGTACAGCTCTGACACCTCAGACTAAAAACTAACTGTTCCCTTTGTTATAATTTATAGTCTGCTCACACCAGTTACAGAGTATCATGTCATAGCTTCACCCTCCAGAAATGTATTCTGCTTTAGCAAGATAGATTTAAGAGTTGGTTCCCTGAGGATATATGGACTTTACCTTAGAGATGTGTTTGAATGACTCTCTCATCCTTGGATGGGACATATTAATTCCTATTTAATATTACATATTAAATTCCTATCTATCCACCATAGTCTATCTCTATATTCTACGAAAGCTTTTCTGAGCCACAAACTCTTCCCTTCCTTTAAATACTACATTTTGTTTTTGAAACCACTAACTTGCTGCTTTCAGTTGCTGTTGTTGTATTTTGAGACATTTTCTCAGTAGCTATGGAGTCAGTCCTGAAACTTACTCTGTAGACTGGCCTCAAACTCAGAGATCCGCTTGCCTCTGCCTCCCGAGTGCTGGGATTAAAAGTGTGCACCACTACTGCAGGGCACATGTAACAATTTTTTTTATTTGTCTAAGATCATAAGAAACTTAATTCATTATGCTACTGTTTTACTATTCCATGGTGCTGTATGACATTTTGTACTTTGGGAGTTCAGTAAACAGGCATGGGATTGGCAGGGTTGTATTTTAATAGGAATTCTGACAATGCTGGAGTGTTATTTAAAAAGGCTTAAGCTGCTTGCTGGTCAATCCACTCAGTAATTCTTTCCCTATCAGGCAGAATGAGGCTGCCTTCTTCTCTTCAGGGCTCACAGCCTTAATTCACTTGATGCTGCTTTGAAGATGGACAGTAAGGTTGCCATCCATTCATTTATCAGGTTCACCTCTGAAGGCTTTTGATCTTGTCTTAGAGCCATAGACAGTGTTATTATCATCACTCTGTGCCATGGAGACAACTGGCATGCACGCATTGAAAGGCAGCAGGAATCAACCTCACGGATAAGAAAATTGACAGAGAGGAGATGCAGATAAAGCATGTGCTGGAAATCCTGAAATATGAGTAGGTCTCAGTTATTTGCTGCTACATAGATATAAAGACACCTGACCACAGAGCTATGGAGAATGGAAAATCTGATGACCCCTAACTCTTCTTCTGAAGTCCATTGGTTTAAGTAAGATTGCAATAAAAAAAAAGGTCTTTCGAGACATTGTAATATAAATCTAGACTTGATAAAGAGCTGGTGTGCCAAAAACCATTTAAATTAAATTTCTTTTAAGGAAAGCACATGGTATTCACATTTTGGTGCTCTACTAAGCTGAGCTGTGTTTCTGAGGAGAGTAGACAGACCTTGAGAGAGCGGACGGAGTCATCAGCCAGACCAATGACGTTCACATAGAGGAGGTTGCTGTGCTTCAGGAACAGAACACAGTGGTCCTTAAACATGTCCAAGTCTACAACCTTGGTGTTTCTCTTCATTGTGAAGAATAAATCCCAATTCATAATAGCAGGGGCATCGGCTGCTGTCCGCATCAGCTGTAGGAACAGGGTTGGAAGAGATCTAGGTGACTCAACAGTAAGGCTGCAGTGTTCAGGGACGGAATCACACTAGCTGTCACTATTAAGTCTGTGCCAGGGACAAAGCATGAATGTCACCATGTTAGTCCAGGCTGGCATGCTGGTGAGACAGTATGGTGCCATGCTTAGCCAACAGTCAACCAGTGGACAACAGATGCATTGGTATGCCTGCCTGAGACTAATCCAACTGCCAACTCACAACCTGAAGTTAAACTGTGCTCCTTTAAGCCAACCGCATTTGGTTTTTACAACACAAACAGTACAGATCTTTCATTTACTAATGTTTTAAATAAATACAAGTATAGAAGGCAGAAATGTCATCTTACGGGAAGAGAAATAACAAAGAGAAATGCGACTGATAACGTACAGGAAGGCAGTGTCAATCACACACTTTAACCCCCCTCCCCCATTCTCTACTGTAGCAAAGAAGGTTGGTGAGGGAAAGCTGACACTTTTACCAGCCCATCCCAAACGGGAACAGGCAGAATTGAGAGCTACCTTGAATTCTGTGGGTTCTCCGACATTAGTGAGGATGTATAATTCATCATCTCGATGTTCGACATAGTAAAGGACCCCATATATTCTCTTCTGAATCAGTACTGGTGGGTCCCAAGGGCTCAGGCCATCTATCAACCACACCTCGGAAGTCATCTTGTTCATGATATTTAGGGTAAGGAAACGACTATCTTTTGTAAGATAAAGGAAAACAAAATAGCTAGAAAGGGATAAAAAAAAAAAAGCACAAGATTTCATTAAGTTATTGCTGTACTGGATTCAGACATGGGGTCTGAACTATTATGGCAGATGTGAGAGGTGAGCCTGCGATGACTAGCCTATTAAACCTCCATATATATATATATATATATATATATATATATATATATATATATATATATAAATAAAGGGTATGTTTAGAAGTAGGAATGAGAACTGGAAGACACTTGGAATCAATGGCGTCCTTTTGAATGGATGTCACTGTCCAATTCTTAAGCATCTCATATGAAATGTTACAATATACTAAAAACTGAATGGGAAATGTTTTTGGAAGGCTAGATGGATGGCTCAGCAGTTAAGAGCACTGGCCACTCTTCCAGAGGACCTGGGTTCAATTCCCAGAACTTTCACAACCATCTATAAGTTCAGTTCTAGGGGATCCAATGTCCTTTCTTGGCCTCTGTTGGTGCTGGGTATGTATGTGCTACACAGATATACATGCAGGCAAAATTACCTTTCCGATAAAATGAAATTGAAGAAATAAGGAAATGGTTTATACAAGGTCAATCTTACAAGCATCTGTGAAGCAATACTAGAACCCCTCACAGGCAGAGGAGGAGTCAACTCATGGCTAAGCTCTTGCAACTGGAATAGGGTTGCTCTTAGCTAATTCTTTTTCATTCTTCTTTTTTGTTTTCTTTGGAGTTTTTGAGATAGGGTCTCATTATTTTCTCTGGTTGTCCTGGAACGTACTAGGTAGACTAGGCTGACCTTGAACTCAGAGAGTTCTGTCTGCCTCTGCCTCCCAAGTGCTGGGATTAAAGGCGTGAGCCGCCTCCACTTGGTTCTATGTCTCTTCTTATTGGAAGAGTTAGGCTCTAACATGAAAGACAAGCAGTGGGTGAAGCTCTAAGGAGCTGCCTGTCCTGCTGTTTAATTCTCATCAATCTTTAACTGTCTGGGTAAGACTTATTAACTTGTAAAACATTACAGATGTGCAACTACAATTCTTCTGGAAATTTCTAAGATGTCAAGCGACTGGTATGAGCAACATACCAGTATGATATACTTAATATAATCACGGTTACTGAGCCCATTTCACTGGATATTTGGGTTTGGATTTTTCTTGCTTTGAAAAATTCAGTCCTGTTCTTGGTGAACAGTATTTCTGCCAAGAAAAAAATGTATATAAGTGTGTGTGTGTGTGTGTGTGTGTGTGTGTGTGTGTGTGTGTGTGTGTATGG